TTGAGCTGGAACAGGGTAGAGTTCTTTCTCCAGGTCGGGGAGGAGTTAAAGTATTTCAGGGTCTTGTTTTTAAATGGGGGAGAAAATGGAGCGATAAATTGATAGGCGGATAGGTGCAGCTTCTGCAGTAAAGCGGGCGCTGTACCGGTCTGTTGTGGTGAAGAGAGAGCTGAGTCAAAAGGCGAAGCTCTCGATGTACCGGTCGATCTACGTTCCTACCCTTCCAGATACTGCTTCCAACATCAAATCAGCTTGTAACAATTCAGGTTTCTTCAAATGTTTGCTTCTTTTATCAGTTACTCAACTAATTTAGCACCACAAGTGTCAGAAAACTGGTTAAATGAAATCTGTACTAATGAGCACTAATCTCAGTTTCTGCTTTATGATTTAGATATTTGTCCATTCTTGTTTTTGCTTACAAAAATGGCCACGTTCACACAGTTGAAACTTGCACTGAATTAGCATTTACTATTTTAAAGAATCAGAGGCTTCAAGTACAGACACTTTAGGCACATATTCTCACAATAAAGCAGATCTTACCTGTGAACCTTGACCCTTGTTTACACTTTCCTTTCAAAATAAATTACAATGACATTAACAGACGATGAGGCACTCAGAGTTGTATTTCTTTTCTTTTTTTATTATTTTCTCATGGGAGTGGAGAGCAAAGAAAGTACCCCAACTGGAAAATCACCATTAGAGAATAACTTGAAATATCATAATCAGTTCTTTATCACATTCAATCACCGATGGGACATTAATCGGAGGCAATGAGGGGTTCACTGTCTTGCCCAGGGACACTTTGGCATGTGACTGCTGGTGGAATCGAACCCCCAACTCTTCCATTGGAGGACGACTGCTCTAACCACTCAGCCACAGCCGCCCCCAAAGTCTCAATTATCATATATTTTATTTTAATCTGTCAGTAGGATAGCAGTGTTCTAGTCATTGTTACTCTTGCATAATGTTTCACTTGTATAAAAAGATAAAATACCTGATAGATGCTGATATAAATATCTGCTGCTATCAATAGAAGTCTTATGACAGGTCTTTAATTGTTCTGTTAAGTGAGAGTAGGTTCCTGCAGTAAATGCATTCACAACAGGTGATGACGGGCTGATGAAGTGCTGCCGAGTGCTTGGCGAGTTAGCTCTCTATATAAATGCAACACTCGGAGGACAATGACAATGCAGTCCTAATGTTTTGTCTCTTTTAGCCTTCTCTGGCTCTAGATGGACGTGGTGACCAGCCTGGCACATCACAGCCAAAATGTGAGCTTGGATGTTTTCATTTCTTGTGTGGAGTTGTAGCATGACACCAGAGCAAATTAGGAATGTGTTTGCAGGTGATTCCTGCCCTGCAAAAACACGATTGTCACACGCTTGATTTATGGCACCGGTCTGAATCAGGTAACCGCTGTTTCCTGTTGATCTGGATGTTACTATGACATGTTCATTGTGTCGACCAGCAGCGTTGGCCTGCTCTTTGACCATGCTGCTAACAGTGATGCATTGCTCATCGTTAGTTTATTATTATTTTATTGTTGCAGGCTGAATGGAGACCAAATTAATCAGAGCCACCAGGTTATTTAGTTTGTCTGCTAGCAGTGGAGGTTTGGATCCTGACCTCATGGTTGATTACACTTCAGACCAACCTAAAGGGAACCCGAGGGAAGATTTTGTTCTCGCTGTCAACTCTGCAAACACACTGTCAGTGAGCACACTGTGTTACAAAAAGCTGCTGAATGTGCACCAGCACTGCGAAGAAGCAGCTCCTGGAAACTCAGCAAAGTTGTGATGCTCAAATATCAGCTCTTTGTAGCTGCTACATTTATTTCTCCTTTCAGTTTGGCTGATATTTTAGTTGTTCTTAGGATTAGACGGTCTTTGTTTAAATAAAATCCATATAGAGTGGCACTGTGGGGTTTGCCCTGACGAAACAGTCCTGTGTCACAAAGCTCTGGTCAGTTAAAGCTTAATTTTTAGGGAGTCTTTAAACTCTAATCCATCAAGAGACGAATGGGCAATTATTTCATTCATCTGCTTCTTACTGAAATAATCCCTTTTAATTAACTTCATTTTTAAGGGTCAAGATGTGGGCAAGTATGTGGGATAAAAAACATTGTACAGTACTACGGAGCACCCTGTTTAACTGGCTGTGATTGGATTGAACACTTGGTTTGACAGAGTCAGCCATGCCTGCACAGCTAACAGTTTTATTGCCAATGCGTCTGTCTCTGTATCACTTTCAGAATGGTATGTTCTTATAGTTGAAGCTGCAGCAGGGGTGGTCATTCAGGACTGCACTGAGCGATTTCTCTGATTAACACACTTTCAGGTATTGAAGACGAGCTAATCAGAGCTCTCAGTTTATTGCAGTGTGTCTTTTGGTAGCTTACCTTTGCGTTTGTTGTGTTTGTATGTAAAATAATAATAAAGAAAATGTTGTAACCTTGAGACGCAGTAAATCTGTTGAAGTGATGTTTTGTAAAATAAAATGTTTTAAAGATTCCAACAGAGTTCAGTCAGGTCATCTGAATGGTTGTCTTTCTTTCTTTTCTTTATTTATATATATATATATATATATATATATATATATATATATATATATATTTTTTTTTTGTTGTTGAGACGTTTTGCCCTTCATCCAAAGGACTTCATCAGTTCTTTATGAAAAAATTAAATGAAGAAAGAAACTGTCCAGATGACCTGACTGAACTTGGTTGGATTTTCTACCTGGATTATTGAGCATGAACTTTGATGTTTTGAACCACTTTGGCTACGGTTGCCTCAGAGGAGTCGATGGGGGAGAGGGCGGACCCCAGAAACCATCTTATCACCAGCAAACTGGTTGGTCCACTATGTGAGTGTGCTGCTTGTGTGACTGAGTTTGTTGTGGATCCTCAGACTGATGAAGTTCTTCGGATGAAAGACGAAACATTAAAAAAAACAACAAAAAAAAACATCCACGTGACCTGATTGAACTTTGTTGGATTTTTTTTAACCTGGATTATTGAGCATGAACTTTGATGTTTTAAAGATTATAGATTGAAGCAGCTCTTTGTCCAAGCTCGGTTTGTTGAAATACAGTATTTTTCTGACTGCACTGACAAATTAACAAAAAGCCTGACTCAAAGGATGGAGGGGTGGGTCAATTACTTATGTGCTTTTTTTATTGTTTCAGCCTATTAACTTCTAAGAAATGGCATTTTAGAAGCCCCTAAATAGTATTTTTCCAATCTGAGTTTCAGAGTGTGTTTTTAAACCCAGTTGTTGACACGTTGCAAATTAGAATAGTTTTAAAAGCCAAATACTTGTGTATAAATAATTTACTACAAACTCTTTGAATATTAGAAGGACCATCTACCCTCCATTTTTTTTTTCTAGATACTGGATCTGAAATTGTCCAGTATGTCCACACAGCTACCAGTCAATAGTAGTTTAATGTGCCACAAAGGACTTGTTCCACTTCATGGTCAGCCCACGAAAAGGATTTGGTTTAATCACCATCCTTGTCTTTTTCTTGTGTTTACAGTTAGTGTCTTCTTTATGCCTGCCTTCTTTATTGTTTTTATTTTGGTGGAAGCATTACAGCACCACGTACAGGCCTGCTGTAGCTACTATAGCATTTGGGTTGTTTGCTGTGCTTCAACTGGGAAAAAAAAATCTAAAAGTCCAGTCTTGTTTTTGAGGTAAAGATTTTTTTATTTATTTTTTTTTTTAAAAGCATTCCCATCTTGACTCGGCCTCATAATCCTGGAACTACCGATCCATGATCAGAACTAAAAAAGTCTTGGAGAGGTGAGACATCTTCAAGAAATAAAGAGAAGACCTCCAGTTGATATGGATGACATGATGAGAGGAGGAATTTACCCCAACGTGTCTAAACTATCGTTTTAACAGTTACTAATTTAAATTAAACGTGTGTTACGTGACAAATAAAGTGTAAAAGCCCAGAGGATTTTAATTGTCTGAACTGTACTTACACACAGACATTAATGGTTATGAGTTCTCTTAACAAAAAACCAAGAAAGCAAAAAAACAAATGCATGACCATAGCGTGTGATTAAACCATTGTTCTCATGCAGCGCCAGCATGTTAGAGCAGTCGGCAAACATTGAACGAGGTGCACACCCTCCTCCCTTTCTGTCTCTTTTCTTCTGCTGTTTCTCTCCTGGGCAGATCTGATGGTTGATCCTGAACTGCCTGGAGAACAATTCAAAAGGTCGCCTCTCTTCTCGGGAGGAAGAGTACAACACTTGCTGACGTGGCCTTATCTTTCTCAAATGCTAGAAGGCTGTGGCCACTTTGACAGTGGCACTTGTATTTCTTTTTTTTTTTTTGTCCTTGGCTGAGCATTAGTCCTCAAATGACTCTTTACACTTTTAATTTCTGCCTGCATCGCTGTGACCTCTCAAAGGTTTAGGCACTGGTCTGCTGAAACTTGACTTGAGGCAATAAAGCCCGGTGAAGAGACGGGCTACGGCTTCTAGCTTATGAACGCATAAGATAAAGATAAAAGCTGAAACAATAGAGTTGTTAATAGTGTAGAAGGAGGAAAAGAGCACCAGAAAAAAAGGTTAAGAGTGCCTCCTGGCACCATACAAGCCTAATTCAATACTTTCCTTTCTGTCACCTTTTGGCCCGTTTTTTAATTTTAAATGAGGCCAAAAGTAGAGAAAAAAAAAAGAACTCATAAAATGAGGACACGCGATATGGATGACTAATAGTACTTTAAAGCCCTCTAAACAGGATAGACTGCACAGGGATGAAAAATGATAAGTTGATGAAGTGAATACTGTTTTTTATTAACATTTCAAGATGAATGACCGAGGAGATGTCATTAGAAGTTGATCTTTGGTCAATGGAAAATACCACAGCCAGGGGGGGCAGATTGTTTTAAAGAACTGAAAATGTCAATAGCCTGCTCTGCTTTGAATATCGTGTGGGAGACTGAAGCTGCTTGATGGATGGTGGCAGCGATAATGAAAAATGATTTCAATGGGGGAGACTGAGCCTGACAGAGGTGGAGCTGTGAATGATGGAACGAGTGAGGGAGGAGTGAAAATGAGATTAGGTTGTGCACTTCAGGTGGTGTGTCAGCCTTGGGAGTGGAATAACCGTCAGTCCTTCAGTGGCCTGATCCGGAGCAGGTAGGTTGTTTTATTGATGGGGGAAGCAGCGTGTGCGGCCAACATTAATGTTTTTACTTGTTGAACACTGCGGTGTGTGTGTGTGTGTGTACAGGAAGAAAGAACGAACTTCCTCTGCGGTAAATGTTAATTTTTAATGCTCATATATAAATGAAGAATATTCTATTTGGATCAGATTTTCTTTTGCATTCATGTATTCTTTTGAATTTTTAGACATTTTGTTCTTTTTCAGATATACTTCTCTCTAAACTTTTCCCTCAAGCAAATATTTCCTTAACTTGAGTCACTGTAACATGGAGGCGAACATGTTATCCTCTGGATTTCTCTTCACAAGGGAGAGATGTGCTAGCAGCTGTAAGTGCTGGCATATTCAAATACTTATTTTTTCCTTTTTACCCACAAGACGTGTCCACCAAAGGTGTTAAGTCAACGTTACACTTGAGCATCAGCACAAACACAAGCACACTGTAACATCAACAAAACAAAGTTCCCTTTTTTTCCCCGTCACTACTGAGAAAATTAAACTGCTACACAGCAGATATCTGTAGGAATTACCTTGCCTGCAGACTCTGCTGCTAATCTTAATTAATCAGGTGCTACTTGTGCTACATTCAACAAACTACGTGATGTGTGCAATCAGTTAGAACAACTCAATAGGTGCTTTCAGATTGCAGGGGCCCAGTTTCCGGTCCTTCTGACCATCTGAGGTAGTTTACCCTTTTTTGTAATGGTGACACTGTAGTAGTTCTTACAATTATTTTAAGCAGTACCTTTTAGTCCTCTTCAGGGTAGGTGCTTTCTTAACTCCCTAGGGACTCTCAAGCAATGTATGGGGATGTATTGGGTCCATACACAAATGTACCCTGATTGACTGAGCGAACTAAATGATCCTCCAGCACGTGTGCCTTTAAAACTGCATTTGCACTGCTAAAGTAGAACTACTTAGCTGCCACTGTTGTCTTTTATGCGAACTCTTCAGTGAAGCCGCGCAGCACAAAGTAGACTTTGTCATACGAGTCTTGGCTTCTACGTATAACTCCTTTTTAAATGTTAATGGCACACTTTCAAACTCTAAACCAAAGAGCAGTCGGCCTGAGAACACTCAAAAGGTCTCTGCACAACTGGTACGGTGGCGTCCATTTTTGCATCTGATGCAGTTGTTTATTGTTGATTATGACCAGCTTACACATGGCATTAGTAATGGATCAAACAGCATACGAATTTACAGAAGCTACCCAACGTTATTTTTAAGGAAAACATTAAGAATAATGTTTTTTATTGAAAATAGCTTTGACCACAATTAAAACTTCAAAAGTAATGGCTTTAAGATTTTTGATATTATTCAAAAATATATTTTTTTCTTTTTGCTGTTCCTTTCTTCCGGGGTCGTGGCGCACAGGTTCGAGAGGGTAAGCATGCGATCGGAAGGTCGCCAGTTCGACTCCCTGTACCAACAACATTAAAATGTGGATGGGAAAGGTGAAACACCCATGCCTGTCTCCACCCTCATTTGTCCCACTTTGAACCCTTGAGCAAGACCCTCAACCCCCACCATCTCCTACCCCGGGCACCCTATATAGCAGCTCTCTGCTCCACACAGAGGGCTGTGGTAGCTTGGTGGTCTGTGGTGTCATCAGGAAGGGCATCCAGTGTGGAAAAACAATTGCCAAGTCTTCGTGCAAGATAGTTCACTATGGCGACCCCTGAAGAAGGGAGCAACTGAAAGAGAAAAATAAAAAAATAAAAATTCATCAGAGGTTGCCACAACTAGTGAACTCGTACGAAGACTTGGCCATGGTTGTTGCCCCATATGTCTTTCCTGACTCAACCACCGATCACCGAGCTACTGCAGCCCCACATATGTGAAGCAGAGGGCTGTCATTTAAGACTCCCAGTGGCGCAGCTGGGGGTGCGGTGGTTAATCGTCTTGCTCAAGGGCCCACAGCGAGGTAAATGGAGGTGGAGTTGAGTACTGATGCTTCATCTTTCCCACCCAAGTTTTGATAATTTATTCCAATTGTACAGTACATAGATTCAAACCTGTGACCTCCTGATCACAGGTTTTCCTCCTTTAGCCTCTGCACCACCACTCTCCCCTTTTTATAGTCTGCAAATATGCTAATAAATTCTCACTTTTTTTGTCTTGAATAGTGTGATTATACAATAGTAGGGACAGGTGTCATCTTAAATATGGACTCATTTTACATGTTTAGTACAGAAGGACATGACATTTGTATCCAACTCTTGGAGCTAACACTGGCCTAATTAACCAAGCAGCTCTAACTAATAAAATTTGTTTAAAGCAGCTGTCACATTAGCCACAAAATCAATGTTTGTTTACTGGAGAGATTGTGTAATTGCTTTTGTCCATTTCTGTGCAAACTTAAAGTCTCCTCTTCCTTTTATAATTCACCCTCATATTATTTCTGAATGGTAAATCCACCCAAGTTTCCATCAGGACAAAACCAGTGAACAATAACTTTACGAGTGCCAGGACTTGGCAAATAGTCCGTTATCTATTCTGTCAGAAAATAAAAAGGATGATAAATCATTAAAAAAAATGTTTATGTGAGCACTTTAAGAGGGAAAAATACCTTGTGAAACATCAAAATAAACGGCATCTACATTTGAACAGAGACGCTGACATTTCTAATAAAGAAGAGACACGGCTAATGCTTTCTGCTGGTTGTGCAGAGGAAAGTGTTGTGCTGCGTTTCTTTTTCCAGTGTAAGGTCAGCCTCAGACTCCCAGCAGGAGCACCACCATTGTGTGTCATTGCTGTAAGTCAATTAAGTCTGTGTGATGTCTTATTATTGCTTTGTCCCTGTATGAGATCTTCCATTTAGAAGGAAACATGTCTATTCTCTCTCCAGGTTTCCTTTTTATCAAAGCCTCCATCGATGTTGTTTACATGCCTCAGAGCTGCATCCACTTATCTGTAAGGTCTGACAGGCAACAAAAAATAATTCAAAAAAGAAAATCAACAACAACAAAAAAAAACTAACTAAGAATCAAACGAGAACTTTTATTTGTCCTTTACCTTCTGCAGCGACGTGTATAAACACATTAACATCTGCCACTAATGAATCTCTCAGACTGAAGCGTCTCCTACTGAAAGCTCTTATTGCTCCGTGAACAATTTCACTACATAATGAGGTAATTTTACATTTGTGAGACAGACTGAAACCAAACATCAGGGAAATGACAACACTAATGGACCTTTCAAGGCAACAACCAGAGTTCCACTCTTTCTACTTTAGCCCCTAATTTATTTTTTGCTGCTCTTCTATATTTCTGCCGAAGGATATTGTAGACAATAGTAGATAGACTGTTGGGGGTCGTCAGACCCTCTGAGATTGAGTCTGAAATCCTGTGTGACCTCCTCAGAACGGAGTGCAGGACAAAGGCGTGCGCTGAAAAGATGAGCATCAAGGCCGATGCGCTGAGAGCCGTCCACTGCTCAGACTTACAGTAATGGAACAGCAAGCAGCATCAAGGGCACTTCTTAAACCTTAACACAGCCATTGATCCCATTATTTTCAGACCTTTAGTCCTTCTTGTTTCTTGTGTATTTGAGATTACTTGGACTCTGGCCTTGGTTGTCAAAGAAACAAAGCTGGGCTGAGTAGCTTATATAGAAATAAGCGTGTGCAAGGCAAAACAAGTGGGAAAAATGCACTTTAGCTTCATTTCAGTGTGTCAGCTTGTTGTTTTCACATACAACCCAACAAAACCTACAGTCAGGGCTAAGAGTAAGTATATCCTATTTCAAGTTCAAAGTTTGATCTTTCAGGCCACAAACTTACACAAACTATAGTCATCTTGTTTTTATCTAGTCTTAAAATGAGGCAAATGGGAATTACATTTAACAACAAAAATATTTTACATGATGCTGTCATTTACTATACAAAACGTGGGCCATAATTCAAACGTAGCACATTATAAATCCACCTTTGTAATGCAGATGATTAAGTATACTTTCCTCTGAAGCACAATTGTGCATGCTCTTGACTGCCTGGCTAACATCAGGAGTTGAATGGGTTGAATTTTCTGAATTTTAACAAGACAAAGGTGGAAGTCGTGTTGTTTAAACCAGTGGCATCAGCAGGAACCCCATCACAGACCTTTCCTACCTTGCCTCCAACATCATCACAAAATCTAGGAGTGAAAATGGATCATTACTTAAAATGTAGCAGTCACGTAAAATACAGTATATAGTTTAATCTGCAGCTCTCTTGCTAGCTGTAGAACTTCCAATGCAGCTTGGCGCATCTCTGGTGAAAAAAAAAAATATATATCACTATTTATGCAGAAATAACTTTATTTAGATACATTTTTGAGATAAATTGTTTTTTCTTTGTAACCCTTTTTAAATAAGCCTTAGCCCACATTTTTATTTTTTATTTTTAATTATTTTTATAAATGCACGTTAGCTCTTTACTTTAGCTTTTTAGCTCTTTAGCTTGTTTGCTCTTTAGCTCTAAAGCCTGATTTGTAGCCAATGAGAAGCTCTGTTCCAGTGTCTCGCTGATAAGGGTGGGTGATGAAAATTGTGTAACGGTAAATTTCTACTCTTACCACCCCCCAGCACTCCTCCTTGTGCATTGTCCCCAGTCAGAACTAATTTCTTACAGGATGCACAACGTGATTGGTCAGAACTTTGTGGGTGCGTTTGTTTATGTAAAGTGACTGCAGTCAGCTCATCTCTGAGAGCAGCGTCTGCTGAGGAGCTGCTGTTGGAGGCTTTTGAAACTATAGCCAACAGTACAAAGATAAGATAAGACAGAACTTTATTGATCCCGCAGGACATTGTTGTGCCAGAGTTTCAGTACAAAGGATCATACACAAGGAATCACACAAGATATATATATATATAAAAAATATATATATATCCCTGTAAAAATGATTAAAAAGGTCAAATAAAGCATAAAGGTAGTAAAGGAACTCGTGGAAGGAGATGGGTCATGGGGAATTGGAGGCTCTTCGTGGCTATGCTGACT